AACTAATTGATTTAAATGTTCAATGTCCTTTTTGGTTCAGAAATAATATCAGTTGGTCATTTACCAAATATTCTGAACAGGTACATTTTGAGTAGTACCTTGGGGTAGGTTAGGCAGAAAAATAAATTTACATAAAATAATTGCTTAATCCAACATAAGAGAAAATAATTGTACCACTGAACAAGTGCATTAAAATTTTCTTACGTTAATAACCTGAAATAGCTATAAACTTTAGATCACTTTGGGTATGTGTGTGTGTGTGTGTGTGTGTGTGTGTGTGTGTGTGGTACGCGGGCCTCTTACTGTTGTGGCCTCTCCCGTTGCGGAGCACAGGCTCCAGACTCACAGGCTCAGCGGCCATGGCTCACGGGCTCAGCCGCTCCGCGGCATGTGGGATCTTCCCAGACCGGGACACGAACCTGCGTCCTCTGCATCGGCAGGCGGGCTCTCAACCACTGCGCCACCAGCGAGGCCCAGATCTATCACTTTTAACCTGACTCTAGAGATTAAAAAGCTGTTACTGAACCCAACTCTTTTCTTACTTGATAGGGATGAAGAGACTGAAAGCGAAAACCCAGCTGTACAAAGGGATGGACTTGGATGGTTATTTTCTGTGGATTTCTCAGGGGTAGTATGAGACAATCTACCTCACTGGTATAGGCTCACTAGTAAGGATTTCATGAATAACCCTAGATTTGGGCAACCTGACCAAGCAATTCTGAACAGAGAAAGGCACAGTTAAGGTGGAACACACAGGAGAAGCTGAAGAACCTGAGGACTAGTGAGTCTTCTGGCCTCTTGGTCAGAGTTCTTGGTTCTTATGATATTCTGAATGGCCGGCAAACTTGGGATTCCAAAGCATAGAATGTTGCTGCAGGTTAAAAACCTTTGTAAATCAGTTACGCAGCCCCTGCTATTGACCAGTATAAAACTGCTACCATGGAGAATTATGGGATGTAGTCAGAATCCCTTACTCAAGAAGACTGACCAGATCACATTGTCACCATCCTTCCATGAGCAAATAAAATAATGCATGTTGATTATTTAAGCAAGTAGAAAATAAGAGATATGACAAAAGATCCCAACATCTGACATTTTAAAATCTGTAAAATATAATTTTTTATCTCTGAAATGTCTCACCACGAATTCCTGCTAAGATGATATGCAGTACAAAGCTAATCCAAGGAAACTGAACTTTTAGGTAGATTCAGATAAACCTGACAAAGGTGAATAAATACTAAATCAGTTAAACACTGCAAGAAAAATGTAGGAGGGTTACACTCACAATTCATAGTATTTGTCATAAAACAGCCTTCAGAAATCTAGAATCTCTCTTCTTTCTTTAACAAAGAAAGGAACAAAATCAATTTTTGTTTTATCAAGTTCTTTTTGTCACCAAAAGTCATTCTTCTCATGCTTTGATATGTGCATCATTCAGATTATCACATGCTTTTATTTTACCATTAAATTGGCTTAAGATAATTTTTCTCACTAGAAATGTGTGCTATTGTTTAAAAAAATAAAGAACATGTTCACATAAATATTTAACACTTGACAAACTATGAAAGTTGATGATGAAAGTTATTGATTATGAACTATATTCTGTCTTAATTTCATGACAAAAGTGTTTGCAGTGTTAAAAAAATAAATAAATAGTCTCAGGATCATGAGAATCCCCACTACAACAAGAAAATTATTTTAGACACAAAATGACCTTTTAGAGTGTACAGATTAAATCATGATTCTCTGCTAACAATTTAGCTTCTTTTGACCAATGAACACGTCTAATTCAGACTGCTGTCCAATGACAGCAGTCTTTGAGTTTTAGTTAATATTAGCAATGTATCTCCTTTGCATCATGCTAATGATTACATACTGAAAGGCGCACTCCAAAAAATGGATCCAGTGATATACAAAAATCTTTAAACAAATGTATAGTGAAATTTTAGCATTAAACATATATATATAAGGAGGGGGATTTATTGAATATATAAGGAGGGGAATTTATTGAATATATAAGGAGGGGAATTTACTGAATCTCTTCCATAGTACTGCTTCTGGTAGTATCTTACCCTTCTTAGCTGTAAGAGATGTTCCTTTTTGCTTCTTAAATACAAAAACAAACAAAATGCACTCTTTCTCTATAATAGGCTTTCATCAGTATATTAACAAATATCTCCTGCTCTAAAAATTAAAAATTTCAAATATTTATACTTTCAAAATCAGACAGGAAACAGTTAACATGAATACCTCTACCCAACTCCCTCCCACCTAGATGGGGAGGGAACACAGGTTTTTAAACATTAAATTGTAGAAATGAAAAGTATAGGGGTCCCACCAATTGTGAAGCTCAGCGAGGAATAAAGCATTGTAATCTCAGTTCTCAGCATAAAAAGCATCTCTTAGAAGCTTCGTTCCAACTATAATAACTTAGTACGCTTGCTAGAAAAATAAAATTATGATCATATGAGCTTCATGCATGATTGATACCATTACTGTTTATTTTAAGACTGTCTTTAAGAATCAGTCAAATAAAGCAGTCTCAGTTTATGTTTTGCAATCAGAATGCGCAACACAATATAAATGCCTTTTCTGAAGATGTGATGGACTATTCTTCCCATTACTGTTTCCTACCAAAAAGAAAAATCTAATAAAAGTGAATCAGGCAGAAATTCATGTCACAAAATATCCTGTCATCCGTGTTCTTTATAGTATGCTGAATTACCTAGCAGCTATTCTTATGATTTTAAAAAAAGGAGGTTATCATTACACACAAATAAGTATATAAACCCAACTAAGGATATGTTCAAATGTTTAAAAAATGCTATTTGGGAATAATACAAACTGAAACATAATCTACTTTAAGTAATTAGAAAATCTCCTTTGTATCAAATACCCTTTTTAAGGTCTCAGATGGCACATGCCTCTTATCTTTCATAATTAAATCTTTGCATTGTGTAATAAATATGGATGGAATAAGTTAAATACTCTAAAAATGGAAGAAAAAAAAAACAAAACTCTTTTTTCCATGAACAATTTTTAACATGTATCTTGAAGAAAGAAAAGAAGTTACAGAAATTCAAAATAAATTTTTTTTAGCAAAATCATAACTTTTTCTCCCATAATAATATCTTATTGAACTGATTGAGGGATTCAAACTATGAAGAAATACACGCACATTTTATTTAGGCTCAAAAAGGAAAGCTAATGATCATCAATACACTTTTGTTATCCCAATAATCTCTGAAAGCAAATCTAAGTAAGACTTTCCCAAAGCAGGTGGCCATGAATCCAGGCTCTCCCTCCCTCTTCAGATTGAGCAAGATAAAACTAGCCCCTACTTTTAACACCTCCCCCACACCCCACCTCACCACCATCACCACCACCACCAATCTGAAGCAATAGGCCCTTCTGTTTATAACCTTATAAATGACAGCTTGCCACTTTCATTCCTCTAGTCTATGAACTGCTTACTTTTTTCATTTCCACATTAAATTATCTCTTGATTTAAACATTAGAAACAAAAATCCATCTGTGGCATGCAATTCCAACAGTTCAAATTTGCAACCAAGAAAAGTCTGGACTTACCAGATTTACCTTTCCATCTCTTTTATTCAGAAAAACAAAGTTGTATTTTTCAAAGGGTTAAACAGTTTTGGTTTGAATTAGGGTTTGGGTGTAATATAATCATACTTAATATCTGTAAACTTAACTCTTGATAATGGTTCTTACTTTTTCAAATATTTTGTTTCTCTATTAACCATCACTTATTACATGTAGTCCTAAGAACAGTTTATACAGAGAATTATATTCAGAATATGCCCTCACATATGGCATTTATTATGCACACTTTGTATATAAATCTGTTAAATGAAACACGTTCAAATACTGTGCAACAGGTTCTGCTGTTGTGTAAACATACACACCCAACAAAATGAAAATAAGCTTTAAAGAATCAGCAATATAGGGGAAAAAAATCACATTTTTCTTCAGAGACTTAATCATAATTCTTTTGAGGTGACAGAAGATCTAACCAAAAGGAGTATATTTTACTAAGACCCTCTTATTGTCTTTGCACTCCACCGTGTAGGTGATAAACTGGTTAGAGCCCAGGTGTATACAAGCTTCCATTGATTTATTGCATGTTACTGGCTTTAGTGCTGAGTTGATGACAGGAAAAGTACTTTGGCAGAGGTCTGACAAGTCGTTATCCTTAAGTTCCCTTTTGCTTTGTGTCTGTCTGTTCCCAAAGCTATCAAAGTAAAGCAAATGACAGTCTAAATCCTCTATGTTTTGCCATGAGAGTGTGAAATCAAATTGTAAGACACACCTCAGAACTATTACATTGGGCCACATTTATTTTCAATTGGCGGGGGAGGGGAAGCGAAAACACTTCAAGAGATGGATTTCATGTCCTCTGTGTAGCCAGATCTAGTTACAGTGTATTAAGTTATGTCTAAATGAGAAAAAGACTCTGTCTAGTCAAGTGTTTTATCACAAAGTAATGTTATTAAACATATCAAGTATTCCCACGCTCTCCTCTAGATTCTTTGATTTTAACCTCCTTTGTTAGGCACAAAACACAGGGAAAAAGGTTTCAGGAACAATACCAAGGCAGCACATTATGCCAAGCAATGAATTCTGTGTTTCCCGAGCAGTTTATTTATTATAAATTCAAACTGCTTTTATGAAACTACACGTTTGCTATATGTAGGTCTTCTAGGTCTTCGCCTCTTTCCTTGATAAGAAGCATGGATCGGCTACAATTGTGTCTTTGAGCGCGCAGCACGGTGCTTTGTGCTGCTGGGGATAACGGATTCTCAGTCTCACGCGCATCCATCACCTAAGACAGGGAAACTCAACACGGGTCTTGGCGGCTGGAAGGGAAACAATGTGTTGAGACCCTGGCTGCTGTGAGCTACAAGGATCTGACGAGCGAACGATATGTTTCAGGGAGCAGCCCAGGCAAGGGGGAAGGAAGAAAGCCCTCGTACTCTTACCTCCACATTGAAATACTGCTCCGTTCCGCAGACGGTAGCACATAAAATCCAAAGCAAGGTTTGCAAGTAAAATACCCCCGAATGATGCACGAAATCCAACCGTCTTCCAGTGCTGAATGTGAGTAAGATCATAGTGAACTGTGCTTCAATGGATGGACGAGCTCCCCTTCGTTTTCTCCCTCTCTCCCTTTCCCTCCCTCCCTGGTTTCCTTTCAAAAGTCCTCCGGGTGGGTAAGGAGCCTGCAGGTTCACCCACAGCCCGGCAAGGGGAGGAGACAGAGGGCCCCCGCGCTCGGCAGCCCCCAGAGAAGCAGCGGCTGAGGTAGAGTCAGCAGCAGCTCGCATTCACCATCCTCGTGGGCCCGCGGCCGGGAACGTGGCGCCCAAGTTCACCGGCGGTTCCGGCTCAAAGAACCGAGTCGCAGCCGCAGCAGCCGCAGCAGCCGCAGCAGCCGCCGCCGCCTCCAGAGGGTGCGTCCTCCTCCTCCTCCACCGCCCACTCCTCCTCCACCGCTACCGCCTCCTGCTTCTGCGGGAAGGGCCTCGGCCGCTCCTCTCTCTCTCTCCTCTGCTTCTCCTTCCCTCCTCTCCTCGCTCCCCTCCAGAACGTTCATCCGTAATCTACATAACTCCTCCTTCCCGGGGTCTGACTCTTGGGCCCTCGGCGCGCGCGCGCGCACACACACACACACACACACACACACACACGCACACGCACACACACACATACACACATCTGCACACGAACACACTCACACAACCCGACTCACACGCGCGCGCTTCTTAAAGGAGACGTCTGGTAAAGGGGAACTGCCACTGTACCGCGCACTGAAAGTAGACAGCCCGGGAGAAGGGCACTGAATTGAGACGTGGTCTTTAACATACCACCCACCCCTTATCCTCGAGACAAGCACGCAAGAACCTGGGCGGCTCCATTCTTTCGTCTCGCCCACCTTCCGCTGAGCACCTAGAAACAAGTGCGCCCCTCCCCTGCCGGGGACTGGCTGGGGCTCAGGCTGCGGACCCTGGTATGGGCTGGGGAGCTGCCCAGGCCTGGTCCCGGTGGGCGACCGTCGTCCTCAGTCGAAAAGACGCTGAGAATCTGAGGGAGCGCCCGGGTCACTGTGCGCTGCTTGGGGGCTCGGGTCTGTTGCCAGCAGGCCAAGTTTAAAAAGCCTGAGCTGGCAAGTCCTGAGCGTCCAAAACTTTGTTGGGGCCCACCAACCAAGCATGTGGCCTGTTGTCTCCCTGAATTCTCTCTACCATCATTACATCCCGCCTTTTGGGCTCGCGGGGATGGCAAAGGGTGGGGGCGTGAGGGAAATCTAGTCAAATACAAAGCACGAGGAAAATGCTCACTTCCCAAAGATGTTCTGTCTGGTGGAAACAGGTACACACTGGGACCCCGGAGAAGTGGTCCGGGTGTTAACAAAACACCGGGACAGAGAGGGCGGGGGCGCCTGAAAGGACCGCGCTGTGGGAGCTTGGGGAAGGGCTGGGGAGGAAAGGAGAGGGAGCAGCCTAAAGAAAGGCGAGTAAAGCAGCTGGCTAGGGCGGGAGGAAGAGGCTGCGCGCAGACCAAGCGGGGGAGAGACTGGCGGGAGCGCGGAGAGCTGCAGTCAAGAGGGGGAGGCTGCTGGCAGGGGAACTTCGGTAGAGGCTGCCAAAAAGGACTCGAGCCGCAGCAGTGTGAGGCAGTGGACTGGGGTGGCAGCAACGGTTTGGCTGAAAGAGAAAGGGGGAAGGGAGACAGGCAGGCATCTGTTTGGGGGCCGTGCCAATAAACGTGCTTCTCCTTGGCAACCAGCAGAGGGGAAGAGGAGCCCACTGGAAAGAAATGTAGGCAAGGCTGAGAATAAAGACTGTTCCAGGTATGGCAGCTACCTCGGTGAGGTGGAAGAGAGAATTGACAAAGCAAATTTCATGGATGAATTGGTAAAGCAAGAAGTAGAACTACAAGAGGTCATGCAGATGGAAAATGCTGAAACACATCTTGCCAAAAATTGCATTGGACTGTAATAAAGCTGAGGAATGGGACTTTTTGACTAATGCTTTAAAAACTGTAGGAAATATGACCCACCCAATTTGACTCAAGTCTCTCAGGGAGACTTTCCTGACAGTCTGTTTTGTGCACAGCATGTCCTGTCCACAAGAATTTTGAAGACATAAGAAATACCTTATATTGTATAGCATATTATAGTTTGCAGAATGTTTCCACACATAGTATCTCATTTAATTTTCACAAACATCCCTGAGGATTTTGTTTTCATCTCACAGGTGGATAAAACGATGGTAATAAAAGATAACTTTCCAGCATATCATTCAAGTGGCAGAATTAAGACCTGAGTTTTCTGACTCCCACTTCAGTGCATTTCCCAATACACTCCACTGACTTTCCATATAGAAATCTGTTTCTGCTCTTAACAGTTGTATAACCCGTAAATTGAGTTGATTTACGTACCTGAAACAATTAGAAGGCAACATGAAAGCAAGATCATTATATAGAAGGTACAAGGTGTTATATGTCAATATAGAATAACAAAATGTGGTGGGAAATATTTGTTAATAAATTAAGAATTATTTTTATGTATACATTATATCTAGCAAAGTACAAAATTTTACAGGGAAGAGATACAGGGAAAAAAAAAATATTGTTTTCCTCATTCTGGAGATAGCATTGAAGGGAGGGAGGTAAAACAAACTTACACAAGATTTACATGAGAAAACAGTTCTAAATGGTGAAGTCCTTGCTAAATGAGCCAGAATATTAGAAGACTTTTTCAAGGAAGTGGAATGCAAGTTAAATGCTGCTGACCTATCAACAAGGAGGGATTTCTCACTGCAAGCAACCTGTTAGTCAAAGAAAATAGCTGAGCTCAGAACAGAGAGATACATTAACAGGGTATTTATGGAAGGCAAGATATGGGTAAGGGCCGGCAATGAAATATTTAGTTAACATTCGGTTAAATAGGTGAACAAGGATTGCTAAAACATTTTATATAAGAATAGGTATCTACTGAAGATTATCTTCAAAATTATGCATAAAATTGGCCATGGGGAAGACTGGGCTCAAAGAGATGACAGTTAAAACAATGTTTAAGTCCAGCTGTGAAACTGTAAGGGTCTGTACTAGTGAGGTGTCCTTGGAGACCCATCGTAAGGGAAATGAAAGTAGGGAATCCTAAATTCAAAAGATAATCTCAAATTAGTGATTAGTAATCATAACATTTTTTACAAACTTTAAAAAATTCATTAGTGAGCATTCAATGAGCAATGAATATATAAATGAATATACTGAAATGAATGAATATTCAAAGTTCCAGAATACAGAAATAAAATACTGAGACAGACATATAATAATTATAGCAATGTTGTAAGGACTCAGGTAATTATGTATGCAAGATGATTTAGAACAAGGTGGAAGAAGTAGTTGATTTTCCCTGAGGTCCTTGGACAATACATCACAAAAGTAGTGGTTCTCAAAGGGTATCTTGAAGAAAGAGTAAAAAATTAATAGGCAGGTAAAAGAAGGAAGGATATTTCAGACCTGTGTGCAACAGAGGTATAAACATAAGATCTGGAGAACTACAGATGGTTTGTCAGGGCTGGAGGCCAAGGTGTTATAAAGGAAGGTCAAGGTCAGAAGTTGCATGGATATGCAGAGGTCAAATCAGAAAGATTCTTGAGTATGTTTCAGGCTTTAGACCTTATCTTAAAAAAATTCTTAGGAGGATATGATTGAATTTTCACTACCTTTTTGTACACTTGCTAGTTCTGTGGAAATAGTCACCATGTAGAAGTTCTTATATTTTTTCCTTCATATGTTCCATTAAGCATTTAATATCTATGATCTTTGTAGACCTTGTATCTGTGCTAGTACGATATGCCTGATACAATAATTCTCCATGTGGACTCAGCTGGGTACCTATGGAAATGTAATCACTTTCTTTATCAGGTGAATTTGTTATTCTGTTTCTCATCTGTTAAACAAGCTTACCTTTTAAAGGGTAGAATTATGAAGAAGTTTCTATTCTCATATCTTACTAGTGTTAGCTTCTTAGTTGGTGATCTTCTTGGAGAAGGACTTGTTTTCCTATCCACAGTAAGTCAAGATATAGAATATCACCATTCCTTTTAATGTTAATGAAATTTTTCCATCCAACTCTTGGCTCTCACTGTGCTTTCTCTCAAATTCTTTCTTCTCACAATTTCACAAAACTAATGAACAATCTCGGAATTACATGTGAATGGAGAACAGAGAATCCAAAAGAGACTGAAAAATGAATAAGGAGTCAGAAGAAAGGAATAATTGCCCCTGGTGAAGGTTAATAGCAATTCAATAGAGTATTACCTAGGAGAGAAAGGGTCTGAGGAAGCCAATGATGTAACTCCCAAGAAGCAAATGACAGATACTTAAAAGTGAGCACTTGAGTGGCATGTTGGGATGTGTGAATAATTATAACTACCTAAAAAATTATTGGAGGTAAATAATATATTACAACCATCATTGAACTTAATAAACTAGAGCCTTAGAAAGGAGTTTATAGCTTTGGGAAGTTACATAAACTTGTTCATTCTTCTATCATATCAATTAATGTGCTTCCTCCCCTACTTCTGTCAGTTGAATCTGCAGTGGTTTTTTTTTTTGTTTGTTTGCTTGTTTTTAATTCAGAGAATATTGAATTAGTGCTGAGCTATGGGCATTTTCTCATGCATCTTTTATTTGCAGGGGCATGCATGTATAGAACAATCACCTAAAGCCTTGTTACCTAAGGAATGCTCCCTGGTGGAAACTTAAGGTCTGAGAGCTTGTCAGAAATGCTGAGTCTCTGGCTGTACCAAGATCCCCCATGATTCATACACAGGGTAAAATTGAGAAGTTGCTAGCTCTTATCAGTCTGTGAAGAAAGTATGACTTTTTTTTTCCATTTTCTTCATTGACTTATTCTCTCTTTTCACCTCCATAACTATGAGTGTTTCTCAAATATTTGGTTTTCTGCTCATTTATTTGTTCATTCATTCCTCTTCATTAACCACTATTAAAAACCAAGCAATTGAGGATGTAAAAAGGTAAAAGTGAAATCAGTTAAGATAGACCACCTCAGTTGGTTAAGGTCTAAGACAGATGAAAATGAAGTCTTGGACTTTAAATTTGTTTTCATGTGGATTTACTATCAACATAAGGAAATAGCTAGCAGTGCAAAAATTAGAGGCAAGATTTTGATATAAGTGGGTGAGTGGAAATAGCCTCCAGTGCCTCCCTATTATTTCTTTATCATGGAGTATCTGAAGTTTGGAGGTCCCAATGAATGAGAAATATGAGGAACACACCAGTTGAAAGAAGAAAAGAAATAGCAGGTATACAGCCTTTTATACCATTAGGCTATAGGGGGAGTTTTGTCTGTGCCCACAG